TTTTTACTAGAGGGGTAGAGACACTTTGTGCCTCTAATATATAGATACAAACAAAATATTAGAAAGTTGTGTGTAATTATTTATGAAAGATATAAATTTTTTTTTACATCTAAAGGGTATAATGGTCTACTAAAAAGTGGAGATCAAAAATAGTTACATACCTATCCCTTTTATAATATGTATAGATTAAGATTTTTCTTTTATATTACATGAATGTTAATTAAGAAAAGACAAGAATGATTTTCTTCCTTATTTTCGTTTTTATCAAGATTTTTTTTTATAAAAAAAAAAAACTTAGATACTTCCTTCTTTATTTATATTTTTATTGATATTTTTCTTTGTTTCAAAAAAATCCTCAAATTCTCCTTTCTTTTCTTTTTTTATTGAGGTTTATTCTTTTTTTTTTTTTTTAATTTAAATAATCTCCAATTCTTCCTTCTTTATTTCTATTTTTATTAAGATGTATTCTTTTTTTATAAAAAAATCTTGAATTTGCATAGAAGATAGTCCATCGAGATAGAGACATGTTCATTTGTAGGTGTCTGCAATGGAGACACATCAATTTTGTAGGTGTTCGCGATGGAGACATATTCAATTTGTGTGGATACGATTTGTTGAAGTGTCCAAGGGGCATCCGTCGCATGTTCGTTTTAAAAAAGTGTCAGACTTGGGGACATGCTAGTCCAATGTTATGTTCATGCAACATAGGTTGAAAGTGTGGAATTACAAAAGAAGATTAGATATTAAACCATCAAAATTACACCTTACACTTTAAAATAAAGAGATATTATACATTTATCTTAAAAGAATTAATGATAAAAAATCGTAAATAAACATGTTCACTAAAAAAATTATATTTCTTTTATTAATGTTATATAACTAAAACTTTATATATATCAATTCAAACTTAATTTTTAGTTAGTTGATACATTAAAACAATTAAATTTATAGTGCATTGTACATATTTATGAAATTCAATAAAAAAAATATATAAAAAAAAGAGAAAATAATGTATATATCGACAATGTAATTTTTTTTTTTTTATATATACTATCATATAATCACAAGTATGTATGATACATTAGTTTTTATTTACAAAAATAATTTTTAAAAATATCCTAAATAATTTTAATTGAAGTACAATGTAAAAAAAAATTATATTGATATTACATGTTCATTAAAATTTTAAAGAAAAAGAAGATAAAAATGAAATGAGAAAGTGATATATGAAAAAACAAACACATAACATTAAAATCAAGATTGTTAAAAAAAAAAAAAGAAGAAGAAGAAAAAAAACTCAACTCAGCAAAGCATAAGAAAAAATAAGGCTAATGGAATTCTATCTCCATATGTTTTATTCGACAATTAGGTAGTCATTTAATGTAGTATTGATTACAATTGATTTGATAAGAATAACTTTTAAACATGGAGGTTTTTTTTGTCATAGGTATCCCTAGACCATTAGACTAGAGATTAATTTTGTGCACAATATTGTAATTGTCATCGTCACAACCATTTTTTACACAGAGGATATCAAATATGTGTTGTTTGCTAAATAAATCATTCTCACAATATAAACGTATGATATTTATCGAGTTAATGTCGAATATGATTAAGAAGTTTCTTTGTAAATCTATCTAAATCTATTCAAATGATTATTTTTACGATGAAGGCTAGGGTGGAAAAAAGAATTAGGTGATTTATGATGGACAATTATGTAAAGTTAATCTTATCCTTACAATATTATGGTGGACTCTCTACACCTTATTTTTTCTTATACTAGAATATCTTCAACACCACTTTCTTTATCATGTCTTCCTCATTACAACCTCTATACCTTTCAAAATCCAAATACTCTAGAATCATTGTCATTGACGAGCTCTCAAAGGCCATGCTTTTTTGTTCGTCATAGGAATGATCTGTGCTGCCTATATCAAGTTTGTGGGAAAAGTTCATCAAACACTTTCTTGAAATTTGTGAAACTTTCATAGATGTCCACAATAATAAGTGTGTCACATCCAAATCAAAGGAATGACTTACACCTCCATGCTCAAATCCAGTCTACACTACACCTTTCAAGCTCATAAGGATCTCACAATGAAAGAAGTCAAAGTTCACTACAATCCAAACCTCCACTACGACATTTAAATAAGGTCTTTAACAAAACTTTTATGGATTGTCAATGCATGTGCTATTAAAAGGGATCTACCTTTAACAACATATTAAAAGTGTTATTATAAAACCTAATTGGATAGTGCTTGTGATTTAAACAAGTGTTGACGTATGGTCTCTTTATACAACACTTATTCTAAGCAAGTGATGCCATAGGGTCCCTTTAAACAACACTTGTTCTAAACATGTGATGTCATAGGGTCCTTTTAGACAACAATTGTTTTAAACAAGTGTTATTTTAAGGTCTTAGTAACCATTGACCTGAGTTGTCTCAAGTGAGTCCTCAAAAACTCTAGAAAATGACTTCCTATATATATATATATATATA